GGAGACTTAGCTAAGAGGATGACTCTTTGTGTCAGTTCTGACATGGGCTACAAATAGCTGTAGTAGTGCTGGGTTCCAGGTACAGGTCCTCAGAGCAGCTGTGAGGCCAGGATCCTAGGTCCAGGGTCTTGCTAATCTATAGTGGTGCCTGGGTCTTGGGCTGCACGTTCACTCTGCATCAGGTTTGGATGTAGGTGGCCCACAGAGCCAGGATTTGTGACTGAGAGGCACCCCTTTAGCAGCTCAGGTCCAGCTGATTCTGCCCCTGGGGAGTAGACACAGTACTGGCCCATGTCCAGGGTAGAAGGAGTACTCTGGAGGATTTTGCCTAGTTAGCAGACTATGGCTGCAATTTGGGAAACAGCCAACTGGGCTCAGTGGCAACTTGGGCCCCAGGAGATGAGGCACTGTGTAGCAGTGATTCTGGACCCTGGAAAGGTAGGGCTCAGCAGTACCCTACACTCGGTGAGGCCAGGTGCAGCAGCAGCATTATTGCAGAATGGCAAAGCGCATCTGTCATCTGGGCCCTGTTGAGGCAGGAAACAGCACAGCGATGACTCTTCTCCCCAGGGAGAGTGGTGTCTCAGCAGCTCGACACTAGGGGCTTAGACCAGCTCCAGAGAAGCAGGGTATTAGAATTGTTTGGCCTGTAGGGCAGGGTAGCTCAACTCAGCCACTGCTCTGTTTTCCTAGGATGTAGGGTATCATATCTGCTCAGCCCTGGTATGCATAGCTGCTCAGCTCAGCCAGGGCACTAATTCCCCAGGGGACAATATGTCACTTCAGCTTAGGCCTGGGGGGCAGGTATGACTGTTCTAGGTGGCCCAGGCACCATTTCCCTGGGATGTACGGTGCCACTTCAGCTTAAGTTCTGGGGTGGGTGACTGCTCTGAGTGGCCATGATACTGTTTTCCCAGAAGGCAGGGTACCGCTTCAGCTCTAGTCTGAAGGATGAGGAGGGGGAGGTAGAGCGACTCCACCTCCACTTGGCCCCACAGGGAAGAGTGTAACAGCTGCTCACAGCTTGGCTTGGGGATGCTGGGTCACTGAGCTGGGGTGCTTCAGCTACTCACCCCGGAAGCAAGGCACACTCCAGCCATATTCCACTTCCTAGATGGTGTGATGCAGTAGCTGTGCAGGCCACAGGGGACAGGGCACAGTATTGGCTTTTTCTTTGGGGAGCACAGCTATGTGGACTGCAGCTGACCCCAGGGCTGAGATCTGTAGGTGTCCAAGGTGTTGATGGGACTCACTTGGATCCTCTTGCTCACCTTCTTGCCATAGGGAGAAGTTTCTCCTGGTTGCCGGCTCATCCCAGCTGGGGGATGGGGTAATGAAGGTCTGGTGTTCCCTTCCATTCTCTCTGTGGTTATCCTGAGTTTCTGTGCTAACCAGGGTTTCTATTACTCCCCTGATGTGCCTTCTTGTGCTCTCTGTAGTTATTTTCATTAAAATGTAGCTGTTTATTGTTGATCTAGCTGTCTTTGTGAGGGGGATGTGCAGTGGGGCTTGTTGGTGACTTTGCCAACGCCACTCTCAAAGTACTTACGTTTCAAAGTCCAGTGCTGGAGATTTTTAAGCTTCTTTCATTTCTCAGGATTACTAACATCTCTCATTTAATTTCTAGATGATAAGTTTCATTGATAGAACCCTTATAAATATCACATTAAGAAGTTAAGCATTACCTTTAGGCCAAAGCAATTTACTTTTAAAAAATCTGATTAATTTCAACACAATCAGCCGGGATGTCAGAAGATTTCAGTGCTTCTGATAGATGCTGACAGGAGAGGAAATTAAAATCAGGGAGGGAAGCAATTAAATACTGGCAAACATTACTTTAATGAGACAACCAAATCATTCATAAGCTATGGAATATCTTATATTCTTGATAAGTATCTTAGGGTAGTGGGAGGGAGAGCGCATTTAAAAGTGTGTGAGCTGTAGAGGATGGCTGCAGTGCAGGAGATTCCATGTTTGTCATCCATGCCTTTGGCCTAATCTAACATTTCAGTTTCTTCTGGGAACAGATTTCTATGTTTAAAACATTGTTTAATTTAAACTTAATATAAGTAATCCTCTTTCTGCCACCTCCACTGCCATGTGAAACTTACGAAAATGCATAAAATCTAGACAAAATAATCCTTGGACTTTGCACAGTGGTGTTAAGATAATAATTGTCAAGACCGATGAAAATAAAAACTTGATAATATATATTTTATACAACTTCTAATAAAAAGATTTGGGAATTATAGCACTAAGACCTGAACTCAGGTTCTCAATCTCCATTCCATGGTTCTTTTCAAAATAGTGCCCCCTACTCAGAATGAACATCTGGGATGATAGGGCTAAAGAGTTACCAATTTACTGGCTCAGTGGAAGTTTTTATAAGATACTGTTATATTGCTCATTTGTACTATGACACTTACAAAATATCAAGTATTATGACTTATCTTTATACTAGTCCAGTGCTATTTAGTGAGAACTTTTGTTTTTAATATTAGGATCATCATCCTAGGGTGATGTTGCTTTGAATTGGTCTTGGGGTGCAGTGGTAGATTCAAAGGATACCAAGGTTTGTGACAAATCCGTTGAAACAGGTCTTTCTGTTCTCTTAATTTCCCATGTTCTTCCTTTCCCTTCTGCTTTTTTCTTACTCCCTGTCATTGCTTCTCTCTTTTTTCCTTGGCTTCATTTATTCTGTTCCTGTTCTTTTCCCAAAATATAGTAGAAATTATTAATATCTTATAGACGTCTCCATTAGGTTTAATGAGTCTTACTTTGCATATATTCTAATTAATAGGTTGAAGTTTTGCAAGTTTGAAGTGGATTATACAGATTTCTTTATTTTTGGCTAAAATTGCTTCTGAGGGTGAGGATATTTTTTTGGGGGTAGAGGATGGATGGTTTTCAAAGGATGCAGATATGCCAGGTTCTAGGTCAGCAGTTGTAAAATATACAAAGGCAGCCAAGGATAACTGGCTTCATTACCAAGAGGCTAGAGTGGGATCTGTCAGCTGTCCCAGATGTCGTTATGGGTTTATGGAGAACTCCACCGCACTGTGAAATACCCAGGAACTACTGAGGACACGTCACACTCAAACTATGTGAAGAGGACTGGTGAACTTAGCTAGAAGGCTTCGGCTTTTCTGTTACTTAAAATGAGGCTTATTGATGAAGGATTCTTCACAAAACTCACTGGTGCAGACTTCTGTTGTTTATGTGGCTTGTGTTTCAACACTTTGCCCAAGGATGTTGCATCTCTGAAACTTCACCGGGGAGAGCTGAGAAAGTGTTCATGGTAACCCTGCATTGAACACCCTTTTACCTCAGCTTAGTAACATGTTACCTTCTGGTTAGACCACAGATGTGAATGAAGTCTCCTCCTTCTCCTTTCACTTGCTAGCGAAGCAGAGCTCAGAACTATAACGCAGGTGCTTCAGTGCTTTAACAATTGAATTTTCTATGTCACAGACTGGTTTTCCCTTTTCTGAAGTTGTAAAGTTACTCTCTACAAATAGCACGTTCTCAATTGGGAAGCTACATCATGTAGCAGAAGGGTGTTTACTGGTTTTGGTATCAAGATACAACGTTAAATTTTTATTTGCTCCATGTTACCATGTGATCCCTGAGGTTTGGTTTCTGTATTTCTAAAACTGGGGTAATAAGCTCTCAATAGAGTTATTAATGATGATGATTGAAGACATTATGGTCATGTAATTTTTCTAAACTTTAAAGTATAATGTTAAAAGGTGATTAATGTTTTGAGTTTAGTGGCAGATGACGAGGTTCTTGCAGGGCATCTTGTTAACCATGCTCTTTTCTTAATCTGATTTGAGTTCTTTATGAAAATGAAATGTTTTAAGAAAACTTCCCAGAAGTCATACTTCTCAACAAATCTATCCATTCCGTAATATTAAAACAAATTCCCTTTGTTCTGGCAGTCAGATGGGAAGCTCCATGTCTCTGAACCTAAGGCACAAACTTTAAAATGATGCTTTAGGTCTTTCTCTAAAGCAGTATGTCTTTTGCTTTTTGAGGGTTGAAGGGACATTTGATATTTTTATCTTGAGCACTTGTATTTTAAAATAAAAATTCTTTGTGTTGTTTGTTGTAAGGTGAGATCATGTCAGATTGACATAGGTAAATATTGTGGTGTTTTAGAACTATGAAACGTAAGTCAAAGAAATACCCCATCCAGAGATATTCTCTAGCATTTCATGCTTATAAAGTTACCCTTTGATTGGTAAACATGGACCGATGGGAAGAAATACCATTATACGTATCTATAGATATGAGATAGGGAGGAAAATGTTCTAAAAAAGTTGAACTTAGGACAGCTTTGGCTACGAAGTATATGTTATAATCTTCATTTACATACGAGGAAATTGACACTCAGTTTAAATAATTGCCTAAGGCCATTGGTGAGAGGAAGACAAGTCTGACAGGTTCTAAATCCCATGTGCTTTCCCACTTCCTCATGTCAAACAAATAGCTGGTTTTACTTTGTTATTCTCTCCCCACCAAGTCTTGTGAATCAAGTCAATGACTTGTTGTTTTTCTGAAGCTAATAACCTGGGAGAAACTAAGGTAGAAAGGAAAGATTACTGGGTCAGCAGACAGAGCCCCTGGGTCCGAACTTGTGCTCTGCCACGTACTGTACTGTGTAGTCTTGGACAAGTTGCTTACTTTTCCTGAACTTCAGTTTCCACACCTTTAAAATAAGGACAATAATAACCATTTTACATGGTATTTGTGAAGTTAGTCATAAGAGATGTGTTAGTTTTCTTCTCATCCTTCCTGTCCCTCTGTGAGCTTCTGTTTTTTCACGTAGGAAGTGAATAGAATAATTCCTTCTTGCTTCTTCATTGGGCTGTGTGGTGAAATGAATATGCAAGTGTTTTACAAAACAAGAATCCACTATATAGATAAAATGTTATAATTATTAATGAATAAACATAGGCTTCGTGCCTGGAAGTAACTTTTACCTGTTACATTTGCAGATACTAGCATTGCAGTTGGCTGAACCGTGTGTCCACTGACGATTCCAAGAGCCGGCTGTCTGAGGTAAGAGAGGATCAGCGTCTTCATGTTTATGGAATACTGATAGGCATGTGAGCCGATCCTGTGTGTGTAAGGTTGATTTTATTTCCAATAAAAGAAATACAAGAGTACTTCATGAACAACAAAACCTGAAAAATGGCTGAGACAGTGAGCTTCCCTCCTTTTTTAAAATTTTGTCTTCTTGATTTAACTTTCCCTTTCAATTCCTAGCTATTCAGGTTCAATATCAAAAGCACAAAAATCTGGGCTACACCAAAGATTCAGATTTAATGAATATTTCAGTGTCCACGAAATGCTATGTACTAGAATGTTCTTACCTATTGTTTTATTGTATTCCCAGCTAGTATGTGGCAGGAGGGCTTTTTACCTAGTTTCCTGGCCGTCGATTGAGTGCATTTTTCACTACACTATGCTGCCAGTGTTACCTGGCTCTGAAGGGGCCAAACATTACTAGTTGGGTCAGTCACTGTTTCTTAGCTGCTGAACAAATCATCTCAAAAAGATATAACCAAGGCTGCAACAAAAAAATCCTAAGGACACAGAAAATTAGAATCATTGAAACCCTGGGCCCATAGTATCTGTGTGCCATTCTACTGGCAGACTACTGTGAAGGAGATCAGCCTCTGGCAGAAGAATACATTCATCTTACGTTTGTCTAGAAAACAGAGGACAGTGGAAAAAACTTGAAAGGAAGCACGATAGTTGTAAAATGTGCAAAATGTGATTTTTTCACCTGAAGTGAATTTGCTGATATCTGTACCTCGTAGGAAGCTCTACTGTGTTCTGTGTAATCTTTTATAAATCTGAACCCAAAATAGGGGAAGTAGGGAATATGGTGTTCCTAACTGAAGGTCTTGTAGAATAGTAACTTTGTAGAAGATTTGGTAACACTATTTAAAGTACTGTAAACATTTGTTCTGCTGATATTTTGTTAATTCCTTTGGTATATTATATCGATGATCTTGAACTGCAAACATGACTTCAGTTGCACAGACCTTTAAAAAAAATGAAGTTGGTTGGTATTGCCCCATATTTGTAGGACTTAGATGATTTACAATTGAGTGGAAATTATGGTGTTAGGTTAACATGATTTTCAAAGCTAATATTTATTATATACCAAAAATAAGAACAGATTATGTGCATACAAGGTCAGTTTTGTATGGCCTATGAAACTCCAATAATTAAATCAGGCATAGAGTTATTTAGATTTTCTTTTCATTCCTACAAAAGAAAGCATTGTTTCAAAAAAAAAAAAAAGAAAAGAAAAAGCTAGCAAAAAATACAGGACAGGTGTCTGCCCATTTTTTAGTCTCTCTCTAGTCTAAAAATGCCCCTGCAAAAACTTCTTTCTAATGTATTATTTTTATGTATAAATATATCAGAAAATAATGTACTGAAGATATTTACATCATAGTTTTTGATAGCTCTGTGAGGCAGAGATCTAACTTGTTCTTTTAGAAACTGTAGTTATCATAGTAACCTTCCCCCAGATGTCAGTTGTTAAATATTAATAGAATAAGCTGTGAAAAGTAGTTAACTGTGCCCCCCTTCCCCACGGAAACCCATCTTGAAACTACAACCAGGAGTTCTAAGCAAGCCTTGAAAGTTTACAAAAAAACGACTCTTGAGAAAAATGAATTATCTCTTCCTTCTTCTCTCTCTCCCCCCTCTCTCCCGCATCCTGCTCCCCCCTTCTCTCTCTCTCTCTCTTTTTCTCCCCATTCCCCCTCCTCTGTATTTTAGAGGTGGGGCTAGTGGGAGGGAAGGTTAGAAACTTCTCAAATAACCTTTGGAAGGTGGAGAAGTAAATATTCTGGAGGCATGCTGTAGAAATTTAAAATAATCTTGTGGTAATAATTGGTATCAGTGGCAGTAATGAAGAAAGAATAACAGTTTAAATAAATAATTAGACTTGACAGTGGATGTGTCAACAGGTACCCACTTAATGAGTGTGATCATTGTTTTTCTCTGCTCTTAATGTTGATCCACTGTGCGGTGTGTTCCTTGTCCCGTTTCCAAACCAAATCTATTTAAAGCTGCACTTCGTGGGATCTGAAACAGTGTACCCTGTTTACTATTTAGAGCTGATACCTAATGTTCTTTAATAGGCAAGATCTGCACTTGAACAAGAACAGGCTTCTGGCCTCCTGTAGACCGTTCATTATCCCTGTTTTCCACAGGGTGGTTCATTAGCCAGGATGAATAATACCCAATTAATTCTCATGGACTTGTCTGTATTGCCAGAGTGAATTGTTTATTATAATTTGGTGGAAATAGTCCTTGTCTGCCTTAAATAAAATTAATCAGTTACTGTTTTTTGAAATGGAGTTAGAGGCAGTAGTTATAAGTGAAATTATTTCTTTAATTACCTGGGTAGAATCTCATTGTTTTAGGGAGTGAAGCAATGTGTTGTATGTTATGTGAGCCAAAAGCCAGGAGAATCTAATTCTAATCCCAGCACTGATGCCAACTGGCTGTGTCACCTTGGGCAAGTCACCTTCCTCTGTGAGGTCTGTTTCAGTATCTAACAACAAACAAAGCTGCACCGATTGATCATGGCATTACTTTTAGTTAAATGTTCTATTATCTATGATTTTATTTCCTGGCCAGTCCCTTCTCCTTCCTGCTGCCATGTTTCCAAAATCATAGGAAAGTCCTGTGATTCTGCTACAGAGCCAATGTGTGAAGATAGTTATTCTTCCGCTCTGCTTTGGCTTCTTTTATATACCAGAAGAGAAGTTAGTAATTTGGATTATATGTACTATATAACTGGGCATTTACACATTGGTCAGCAACTTGCAATTTCTGATCAGAAAAAGAAAAAATAAATCCATCTTCCCCCATGTTACTCTGTGCTATGACACTCTTCCATGATCTGGACCTTAGTTTTAGAGAATTTGGTAAACTTACTCCCTATTAAAACTATTGGGAAGAGAGAGATTCTCCTGTTATTTTACTTTTCCAGAGTGAATCACTGGACCTGTGAAGAGAGGTCAAAATGTCAAACCCAGAGGGGACTGTAAGCATCAAAATAACCAAATTCTCTTATTTTAGAGATGGAGCTTTTGGGGTCAGGGAGGGAATCTGATTTGTCTGGGGTGTTTGTGACTTATCCTAGACTAGAACTCTTTCTTCTAACTCCATAGCTGTATCTTTGTTTAAGCAGAGAAATCTTTTTGTATCAACTGTCTTTTCCCAGTATTTTTTACAAGGCCATTGTCTTTCAGGCAAAACAATTTCAGTGTCAGTGCAGGGATGTGAGATGTCTTTAATGCATATATAGACTCCAGGTATCTTCATTAATTCCATGAGGTACATGAAACAGTGGCCAGGAGGGTTCTGGCTGGCTTCTGCATGTTATGTTTGTTAGGACACTGGATTCCCTTGCAGTCCTTCCTGGAAGAGGTTATTTCACTCTGACATCATCACTCTTTCCTCCACCCACCTCCTGCCCTTTTCTGATCCAGTGAATTATAGGAAGCTGAGGATGAGTTCCTAGCTGTCTGTTTACTGCACATAGTTTGGGAACATTAATAAAGAGAAGACAGATGTGGGATTAATAAGCAAGAGGACAGTAGAGTAATAGCCACACAGTGAAATCTGGTTCAAGGCCTGCAGTTCCCAGTTGCCGGCTACTCAAGATTAATAGCACTGTCTTTCACTCTTTCAGACCCTTCTCTCTGCCTTGTGGGACTGGGCTGGGACTGAGAAACAGCTGGTGTAATCTTTGCCAAAACCAAACTCACGTTTACATGGGACTTCCATGTCCAGAGAAGAGAGTAGTAATTATCTATCAAATAGAATATAACTTAGAGACCATTGGATCTAAACATTTACCTTGAACTTCATAGTACAGAGCTTCAGAGAGTGGAAATCGTTTTACTGAGTCTGAGGTTCAAATCCTGCAAATTTATTAGTTTTCTGTGACTTTAGTGAATGTAGTATTTTCCTCTGAGCCACAATTTCTCCATCTGTGAGGTGGGAGGCGGAGGGTGGAATAGATGATGTCAAAGGTTGTCCCAACTCTGATTTTCATGAGTCTCAGATTTGCTCCAGGTCCCATAGCAAGCTTGCAGCCAAGCCAGGTCTTGAATTCAGAGCCCCTTTATCTAGTGTGGGTGGTCATCATTGTAACTTCCACTACCCATGCTTTCTAAACAGTATGTTTGCATCTGTCAATCTTGACTGATTAAATAACCTTGTTCTTTTTCATTAGACAGGTCCCTTTCTATCAAGTGACTTGCCTAAGGCAGTTTATCTGAATGTGTGCGTGTGCAAGTGTGCACATGTGAACATGTGTTTGGGGCAGGGGTGAGGATTATGAAATTTTGGAAACTCAGATGAATCTATGAAATAACTGGAAATACACATCTATAAAGAATGCTATCTAAAATTTCGGGAGGTTTGTAGATGCACTGAAGGCCATACATGAGTTAAGCAAAAGATGGTGTTCTGTGTGGGAAGTGTGAGATGATATTTGGGTGATGTATTTTTCCTTTTGCTTTTGAATTTTCCCATAGTTCCCACTGTTACTCTCTGAGTGTTAGACTCGTTTATCAACATGACCCTGGATATTTAGATGTCTCAAAACATTGAGTGATATTTTATTATTGAAACTCTTATTCTGCTTGCATTATTCATTTATTCATACACTTAAATGCACTTTTAACCCAGAATCTGCTAAATGCTAGGCATTTGAATACATTGTTTTGTTTAATCTTATAAAACAGAAAATTATTTTTTCCCATATTTTGTATGAAGAAACAGCTCAGAGAGGTTGAGTAGTTTGCCCAGAGCTGTACAGCTAATAAATATAAGTCTGAATTTAAATCCAGATCTGCTCTAAAATGTCTGAATACCTCCAGAGATAACATTGGAAATGAATAGAGACAATGAAAGAAGTTCATAAACCATAGGAATCCCTGACAGAAGATGGTAAATGGGCCCCAGAGGAGTGTAGAGAGTGTGCGCTATGGGAGTTCAGAGAGGGACAAGATCACACA